TTCTAGTTGGTTCTGATTGGTTCTGATTTCTGCTTTGTTCTATTTGGTTCTGCTTGGTTCTGATTTCTGCTTGGTTCTGCTTGGTTCTATTTGGTTCTGATTTCTGCTTGGTTCTGCTTGGTTCTATTTGGTTCTGATTTCTGCTTGGTTCTGGTCCAGACTTTAGCTCCTCATCAGGGTTCTCTCGGGCTAAACTTCCTGTTATCTGAAGTTTATGCAGGATGTTTAATTAGGAGCCAAACTGCTCTTTGAATCAATACAGTTTATAAAAACATTCCTCTAACTTTGGTAACAAATTAACTCTTTTCTTCCAGGTGTGTTTGTGACGTCAGAGCGGCTCTGGAAGCTCACCTTCTGCTGCCTGCGGGCCATGTCGGTGGGCTGCTTGGCGTTGAACGGGTAGGAAATGCAGCGCAGAACAAACACATAGATCTGCAGCTTGATCCTCCTCTCCTTCTCCTCCTTCTCAACGCGCTCGCGCTCCTTCCTCTCCTCATCGTCACCTGCAGAGGGGGGGTCCTTGGCCCCTCTACCGGGGGTCCCTCCAGCCGCGGCAGCCTGCAGCTGCTGGCCGCCAGTCCGTCCGATGTTTCCCCGCCTCCCTGCCACCGAGAAGCCGCTGGGTTTCTCCAGAGGCTCTTGGGTAACTTCTGGGTCGGACTCTCCGCCCGAGTCTTCGCTAGAGGAGGGGTCCAGCATGGTTCCGCCGCGCAGCCAGCCGCCCTGCAGGGATGGTTTTGGTTGACGTGGCGCTCCGCCGGTGCCTCACCTGTCAGCGCCGCTCCGCTGCGGGGATCAGCGCTGCGTTTGGAGTCACGACCCGAATGCGGTCCCTGGTGACGTCAGGCAGGCGGAGTTTTCCGCCGCGCGGGCTTCGTTCCTTTACACCGGGAAACAGTGTCGGTATGGCAGCGCGGAGCTGGAGGTACAGGTGAGCAACCTGTGGCTGCGGGCACAGATATGCGCAAACAGGAGGTGTCACTCTGAGTCTTAAAAGCGCAGGGAGCCTTCCAGCTGTTTGTGACGGATCCAGGGAACTGGAGCAGCAGGTAGCCTACTAAGTGCCCCCCGGTAGCCTATAGGCAATAAAACACTCCACAGCTTCTCAATCAGTGAAGCAGGAAGAGTCTGACCTACAGATCCTGAAAAGCCTGATTTTGCAATGAAGTTTCATTTAAAAGAAACTTGTTGTGTTCAGATGTCCTGAATGATCAAAGCTCTCAAGTGTCCAGTTTTGTCCAGAAAACTACCGTATTTCACCCTGTGTTGCGCACCGCGGTGAAGCAGGTTATTGGATATTCCAGCTCCGTGCAGTCAGCGGCTCCTGCCTCACAGACCATCCGATTCAGGAGCTCAGACTCCGGCCAGCCGCTCTCTGACGCTCCCTCTGTGGGACCGTCAACAAATTCCCGAACCAAGAATAAATCAGGTCCTTTTCTTTTGGCCCAATGAATCAAACCAATAGTACATCGGGATTATACAAATGTGGCACACGCGTTATAGTTTAATTATCAATATTTTTTACATTTTAAAAGTTTTTTTTTTTAATTATTGATATGTACTGTTTTTCTTTGAATGCTTCCAGGTCAGATGACCTACTGACTCAAAATATTTCTGAAATTGTTCTACTAGCTGAGACAGAGGAGGAACACACTTTTTTTTAATTTTATTTTATTTTAAGTCTTTTTTTTAAGTATAAATTGTTATTCTTATTATATATATATACTTACAGAAACGAAGAAGGAAGTTATCCTGTT